GCCAATTCCTGCGATCCGCGATCCGGGAACATGAGGCGATCATGGATCGTGTCGTCTGACGAACTGAACTTTTCTTGCAATTCCGCCGCGTCGCACCGATACGCTCCAACCGATCCACACTGATCCGCCTAAGTATAGCACTGTTGAACTTTCGGTCGCTATGGAGTCACACGTGCAGCAACGACGTCGAATTGCTGTGGCAGCAACAACCTACATTCTTCTTAAATATTTACGAAATGGATCACAAAAACGAAAAAGGCGCTACTGGGTAGGAAATTTGTATAAAAACCGATTGGAATATGGCACTCAGCTTTACAAAGAGCTAATTTCTGATGGAGTTGAGAGCAATTTTACACGGATGGAAGCAAACCAATTTGAGTTGTTGTGTTCACTATTGGATGACAAAATAAGAAAGCAAGATATATACAAATTATCGAGATGCCATTACTATGAGAGAAAGATTACTGTTGACGCTTAGGTTTTTAGCAACTGGAGATTCGTACGTTAATTTGCAGTATCTTTTCCGTGTGTCCAAACAATCAATATCCAAGATAGTTCCAGAGGTTTGTGAGGCAATCATCGACATATTGAAGGATTATCAGGACATAATCAGGTTTAACTGATGCGCATAGCAATGCACATAGTGAGCAAATGGATATCTTTGTTTAATTTTTGAATGTACTCCAGCAGTATGTCGGCTCATTACCGCGGCTCCATCATAGCTTTGTGAAATCAGTTTGATAGGGAAATTTCCTATTAATGGATCTACGACGCTCAAAATATGTCTTGTGAGAGTATCAGCGTCACATTTTTCGGGATTCATATAATTCCAAAAACGTTCTACTGGTTCGCCGTTAAATACGTATCTGAAAATTGTTACCAGTTGGGTTTTCCCCAGAAGTGTTTGTTGTTTCATCTGCTATTATCGCCAAGTACTGTTTTATTATTTCTTCTTGACAAACTTCAAGAATAGGTACAATCCAGTGAATCGTTTTGTATTTCTTTCGAAGTTTCTTTAAATATTGAAACTTTTTTTATGTGTTCGCTTAAGGTTGTATCAAGCTCAGCAGAAAAATTAATCAGTCCAGAAATATTCCCGGGTTTTGGGAGCTCTCGGTTTCATAGTGGCCCCGTAGCGCCAATTCAAATGCTCTGTAAATTTTGTACAATCGATTATTTTTGATAGAACGTACCTGTTTTTGTATCGGTATCATTATGCTGTTGTATATTTCTCCAATATGCCGAATCTAACTGAGCTCTGATGTTAACAATCCCCAATAAATCCAAAACTATCGAGTTATGAATATGTGTTTTAGAGTTTTCATGCTTCTTAATTTTTTTACTCAGGTGCACGAAATTTGTAACACCTACCTCCGTCCAAGCTTTGTCACCGCTGAAAAGTATGCAAGGAAATCAGAAAAGGGCATTCTTCCTGCTGCACCCACTAAGCCAGTCATTTCTGGTGTAAATCTCCCTGCTGAAATCCCGCGTATAGCCCTTGCCCCGACAAACGCCCTGTGTTTCTATAAATATGACCGGCAGCAGTCGACCTGACACCTTTAGCTCAATTTTCTCTTCAAATGTGTATTTCCAGAATCGTTTCACGCTGATAAGCCTGTAAACCACATCCATTGTTCCTTCCACACAACCACAGTCAGTCAGTGAGTCACTAGTCACTCAACGTAAGACCCAAAATACCTAAATAAAAAATTTTTCGCATTCAAATTTTAAGCCACGTCACGCGACAAGACCAATACCGCCGAGGACCGAGCACCGTCCGACCAATCAGATATCGTACTTCGCATTAGATCTGTACGGAGCTGTATAAATTGCAGCACATGTTTATGCTTAAATCGCGCATTTGATTTTGTAGAGAGAGACAAAAGCAAGCGCGTGCGGCTTGTGTCGAAGTAGTGCACAGACCCTTTTCAAATGGCCCATGAATAATGTTACGCTGCGGTCGCGACGAAAATGACAAGTACACAATTGGTCGATTATAATGCTTTCTCAGTACAAAACAGCTTCGACGCCGTGTCTTGCGAGGGTATTGTTTCTATTTGTGTGATAGCATGGAAAATAAATAATGATCAAATTACTACTGCTTTTTTCTGTTAAGACAAAAGTTTTGGCAGTTCTGCAACTCTGCAGAACTTAAGGGCCAGCCGCCACTGTGCACGATCCAATTTCGTGAGAAAGTCGAGCCTAAAAAAATATTGTAGGACCCTGTATGGTATGCTGGGTTACGGGCAGCTAGTATATCAGGGCCACAGCTTAGACAACAATCAGCTATGAAAGTCTTCTGTCAGTATCAAAACCGACCGTCATTTCGGCGGAGAAAGTCGAATGTAAATTTTTCTAGTACAACCATGAAAGAGGTTTAAGTACTCAGCAGCAGCCGGTGTTGCCACGTACCCTGCCAGAGACCGCAGATATTCTTTGCAATCGTAAAACTTATACTATTCCGATATGATCTGGTGTAGTTTGTATGAACCAATAATAAAAAGGAATACCTTTAGTATTGATAACTATTTATGAAAAAGTTTTAAAATACATTTGTATTTGTGGAACCATTTACAATAGACATAAAAATATCTACTTTTGCCATGAACTCTTTGGTGATGCAATATAGTCAATTCATTCCATTTTCAATGTAAGCACTGTTAAAAAAACCACAATCAAAACTGATACTTCTGACGATTCCTCATCTAGGATGCTTCTACATGCACGGCGAGTTTTTAATGTGTAAACGGTTGGTAGTTACGAGATTTTAAATAATTTTAGGCAGCTATATGCTGCTCACTTAGAAAATATGTTGATCTCCACAAGGTGATTCATGATTATATGACAATACATATGTCGGCATCAAACGCTGAAATCCGTCATTCCCTGAAATGCCTAGTCAGTTCCCGTATTGCCGGCATGCACCGTAGCAGTTTGATTATTACAACGTTTGACGAAGCATTTTAGTTATTCCCTGTAATGACTGAACAATTTCAGTCAAACACCATAACAACCAGATTAACTTCGTTACTGCATTTGCCTGATTCAGTCATTCATTGTACCAGCTTTTGTTAATTTGCTTGAGTACACACATCGTCTTTTCTGTGTTTGTAAGAATGTCGCAGCATTCAGAATTGTTTTACAATAAACTAAGTGAATAACTATAACAGTATGAATAAGAAAAAACCATGAAATTCAAATGAGTTGAAGGAGATAAGTTAATATTTATAATTTTGTGAACCTAACCTAAATTATAACGTACATAAGCTTGTTTAACAGCAGCATCCATTATTGCCGGATTTCGTATATGGATACTTGATTAAAAAAACAATAATGTAACAATAAAGACAACGTTTTAATTTATTCTTATTTCCTTTTACATTAATTAATGCTTGACTTAGATCGGGACTATACGGAGGTTGGTCCAATAATTCCACGTTTTCTTCCGTTAAATACTGCCTTGTCTTTTGGGTTGTGAGCGAGCTTGCATTATCTTTGTGGAGGATGATTCTTCTTTCGGGGTTGATTTTTCGAAGCTCCGTGATGACTTTTGGCAAACAAATGGTGGTACACCAATCCGCAGTAACAGTTCTTTGCTCATTAAGAGGAATTGTTGCAATATGACCCGCTTTTGACACAAATGTCGCGACCACCTTTTTCGAAACACTTCGAGAACGGATGACTTTTGTTGGTTTTTCTTCACCTTGAAACACCCGAACAGCCGACTCTCGTTTATTTTCTGGTTCATAACAGTAAATCCACGATTCATCATCACTAACAATGCTGTACACATTTTTTGAGTTTCCGGAATTGAAACGGTCAAGCGTTTTTTGACACCAATTAACCCTGGCTCCTTTCTGCTCTTCAGTCAACAGGTGGGGTATCCAACGAGAAACCAATTTTCTTACTCCTAATTCTTCATGTAAATTTTTTTGAATTGAGGTCTTTGAGATCTTCAAGGACGCCTCAATCTCGCGATATGTAACATGCCTATCTTCAATGATGATTTTGCGCACAGCATCGACGTTTTCCTGGGTGACTGCCGTTTTTGGTGCACCCACCCTGGGATCGTCGCTAAGACTCACCCGTCCAAGTTTGAATTCTCCATACCAACGGGAAATTGTCGACTGATGTGGCGCTTCGTTGCTGAAAACAGTCAGAACTCAGCAAGGCATTCTTGTTGTGATAATTGTCTCTGAAAGTTGTAATAAATTATGGCGCGAAAATGTTCTCGGTTGAGTTCCATTTTTCTAATGACTTGGTGACACTTAAAAATTCACTGTAGTGAGAACAATGCACGTATTGTTGTGAAACTTTGAATTTAAGTTTACTAAAGAGTGAGGCTAAGATTCAGTACTGACGTTCGATCCACGCGGCCTACTATGTTTCTATATGCAAAACTTAGAAGACATCCCTCGTACAGCGTATGACTAAAATAGCAGAATGCAATAACGAAGTTAATGTGGTAATTATGGTGTTTGACTGAAATTGTTCAGTCATTACAGGGAATGACTGAAATGCTTAGTCAAAGGTTGTAATGATCAAACTGTTACGGTGTTTGCCGGCAATATGAGGACTGACTAGGCATTTCAGGGAATGACGGATTACAGCGTTTGACGCCGACACAAACATTGTTTGAATTTATTGAGAATGAGCGAAAAATAACAAAATATTCATTGGTTTTGCTGATGAACAATGTTTCTTAAACATCTCATTTGAATGTTCATGTGCTCTCATGTTTTCCGCGACAAAGACACCAAAATCCTAGTGATCGAGTGAAGGTTGTATTTGCCTGGTGTTTTTAGTACTGCTTACATTGAAAATTTAATTTTTCTTAAGAAATATTTTTTATTGTAAATACTTCCATCGTTGCAAATTTATTTTGAAGCTTCTTTATAAATAAATTGTCATACGTCGCTTCTTTTTGAACAAACGTACTTCTTTTTATTATCGATTCACACAAACTACACTAGATTATATCGAAATATTATCATTTTTAGATTGCAAAGAATATCTGCGGCCGGTGGCATGATACAAGTACGTGGCAACACCAGCTGCTGCTGAACACTAAAATTTCTTTCGCGGAACTAGGGGAATTTACATGCTATTTTCTCTGCCGAAATGGCGACCGTCTTTGACACCGACATGAGAGTTTCATAGGTGTACCTTGTGTGTAATAACTTAAGCATTTTAAAAATAAAATTTCACAGTATTCCAGAGTAAAATTTCATCTGTCAATTCACATTCCATTACTGTGTACGATACTATATTACCAAGTAATTTACAAACGCACCCCTGTTTGTTATGTTTGAATGGTTGTCAAGTTGTAGGTTAAGAATGCCGTGAAGTAGTAAGTTAGGTGTTTTTTTCAGTTAACTGTGAGTTTTCTTTATATACCTAGATTGTTCGATATGTTTCGCAAAATTTGTAGATTTATTTGAGATTTCTAGAAAGTGATTTTCACTTGTTACTTGAGTATATAAAGGAGTGCAGATTGGGCCACATGACTCATATCGAATGTAGTAGAACAAATAAGTATTTCTTACAGTATTTGGCTTATGGAAATGAAATATGTCGACTTCAATTTTTAAAAGCGTAAGATTCACATATAAGTCGAATTTAAAAAAAATATTTTTTATTTTTCAATTGGAAATGGTGAAAACGCTATCAGCCATGATGTAACGTGTTACAAACTATACTAAGTGACATATAAATCCGAACACCCAGTTTAAATGGTTTTATTTTAATAAAATTTTGTATAAGTACTTAATGAAGCATAATAAGTAAATGATAAAAATTTCAAAATGATTACACTGCTTTAAAGCCCTTTGACCTTTAATAATGTGTGGATGCACCCTGATGTGCTACGCATTCTCCAACGCGCCTAGGCATGCTTCTAATCAGGTGGTCAATGTCCTCCTGTGGTATCTCATTCCAGGCAACCACCAACTCCTCTCGAAGTGCTTCTAGAGTCTGAGGAGGACGTTGCAAATTGAGCAATCTCCTATCCATCATATCCCACACGTGCGCAATTGGGGATAAGTCGGGAGATCTTGGTGGCCATGGTAACAATGTGACATCATTATGTTGAAAGAAGTCTGTTGTGACTCTTGCAACATGTGGCCGGGCATTATCTTGTTGGAAAGTTGGATCTGCCAGGGTGTCAAGATAGGGTTAAAGATAGTGTTCTAGAACTTCGTGGATATAACGCTGCGCGTTCATGTTACCTCTGATGAAGATTAAAGGTGACCTAGAACCATAAGCTATAGCACCCCAAACCATAACTCCGACAGTGTGATGAACATGTCTTTCAACAAAAAACTGTGGATTCCTCCTTTCACCACGTCGCCTTCTAACCCTGGCACGACCATCGTGCATGCCTAAACAAAATCGAGACTCGTCACTAAAGACAATACTGTTCCATTCCTGATCCCAGAGTGACCGTTTTCTGCACCACTCAATGCGATTACGTCGGTGTTCTCGAGTTAAAGGTATGAAAACAAGCCAAAACTTCTCATTCATCGGTAAACACTTCGCATGCCAATAGGTCTTCCGTGTTCTGCAAACCATTCATTTGCAATGGACCTGGTAGTGGAAAAACGGTCCCTTAAGGCCAATAATCTTAGGCGGCGATCTTCACGGTCTGTTGTTCTACGGCGGCGTCCAGTGCCCCTTGCTCTTTGCGTACGGCCTTCTCGAAGCCATGCCTGACAACAACTAACCACAGTGTCTACACTTCTTTGCACTCTAACTGCAATTGCCAGAAAAGAAGGTCCAGCTTCCCGAAGTCCCACTATACGGCCCCTATCAAACTCACTAAGTTGACGAAATCGTACAGGTCTCCGTACTCTAGGCATTGTAACCGATCGTAAAGGATGTCAAGAACCAAAATCCGCCAACGTTGATTCTTTACTGCGGCTGAAATATTCATTTTTAGAGCGTTAGTGAATAAAAAAAAAACAGTATAGAAACCGGAATGTCCAACTGATAAGGCTGAAAATTCTTTCACTTGTTATTTACAGTAAGATAAATACATTCACCAACTTTTATTAAAATAAAACCATTTAAACTGGGTGTTCGGATTTATATGTCACTTAGTATATAAGCAACGAAATCGCAATGACTAATGTCGTCTTCAAATATATCAAAAAGACCCCTAATCAATGTTAAAAAAGTCTTCTCGTTTTATTCATTTTAATCATGAATGTTGGATACGTAAAAGCAGAAAGCACAAATTCGCGGAAAATGACACGTTGATGGTTGGTAATATTTCTGCCTCCAACCCAGATTTCTGCTCTGCTGCGCTGAGGAACGTGAAGACTTCTATTCTGTGCATCTAATAGCGCGATAGGCATAAGAAAGAATAATTAATACACTTACTTAGTCTTCCTTTTTAGAAGTCATTCAAAACTAACCTGGTGCGTGATAACCTCAGGAAAATTTTATCTAGTATTACATCAAAGTCATCTTCGCAAAAATAAATTTGAGTTATCGTCATTCAGGATCCGTTTGAGCATCCATATGTTTTCACATTCCGAGACAACACAATAACGATAACTACTATATTTTTCATGTATATTTTTGAAAGTTTGAGAAATCATGCTGCTCAGCTGCTTACAAATGGTATGTCGTCGTAGCACATTATTCCATGGGCCAAACGTAGCGGACAGCGTTTTCGCTTGTCTAATGAAAATATGTTTTAAATATTAAGGTTTTACGGGTTTTCAGGTTTCAAAAAAATATTGTATTATTTTTTTGGTCTAATCGAACCAATATTAACTATTTAAGACCTACTTAAAGAAAGTGTCAACACGGCTATTGTAGGTTGAGGCTAAGTAGGTTTTGTGAGTTTTTGAGCGAATAAATGTGAAAAGGCCCAAGAGTAATTCATTTCAACCGCGACAAATATATTGTAGATAATTGTTTAAAAGCTTACTTGTTTAGGAGTGACAAAAAATGGAGTACTGCGCAAAAATCTTTTCCACAATCAAAAATCAAAACACAATTGTGGCCGAACAAGCGACGCATGCGCTCTACTACGGCGTGGTCAACGCCTATAAGCTACTATTTACACTTGGCAATAATGGAGTTTCAAAGGATGCAGAGTCAATGAATCCAGGGGTCTGATTTAGGGAGCTTTCGTCTAACAGTAGCAGCAACGTGAGGAGGCGAAGCAACTCTGGTATCGATGGCCCTTTTTGTTTACCACAAATATCGGTTTTAAGACTAACAACCTAAAATTTGATATAATCTGTCAGACATTTTAACAAATTTGACTCATAAATCCATCTTCTATCAAACTTCGTCTTACCAAATGCGTCAGCTTGAAGCAGGAAATTGATCCTCCAATCGATTTCAGCGGAAAACGCAAATTAGATTAGTGACTTACATTTACAGGTTATCCAAAAGGTGCCTCTTGGTCGAGATACTAGATTCGCAAGCATTTTTTATTTTTAAGTTGGTATTTACTCAAAATTTCTCAATTGCAGTCTTCCTCTTCGCAACAGATGAGATGGACGTCCGACTATAAGAGAATGGGAGGAAAAAGTTATATTCAAGTCGATCAGGATAGAGAACAATAAAAATTAGATGGATCTTTAAGGCTGATTAGATAGATAGATGTCATTAAGCTTTAAACTTTCTCAATAAAAATGTTCATTTTCGCTGCCCGTGGTTATAACGAGTGAGTTTGAATATGGCTCTAAAAAGATCCAATGTTTCATTTGTTGCTGATGGATCATATTTTCAGAATCTCCAGATTAAAATGACTACGTCTTCAGTCTATTATTTTTTGCTACACAAAAAAGAAAAAATGACTTTTGTGGGCGATGAGCAGAATGATCAGCAGGTACTCTGAGTAATTATCGTAAGTACCACCTTCCAAATGTTACACGTTATTCAGGCAACATTTGGTGTTTATCTTAAATGTGGGGTTACGACCAACATTTTCAATTACCACAAACAAAGACAACTGGCAATTTACTTACGAAATTATGCTTATTTCTTAACCAAGAGGGTTGGTACTGTGTGGCGGAGAGTTTTTATAGAATTGTAATTACCCACAGATGGCTTAACCAAAGGTCTGTTGACTCATGCACAGTTTTTTCACCAACTATTTAAAATATCAGTATACGTTTTACCTAGAATATGTACCGTCAGTATACAAAGACGAAGACAATAAGATGTGCGGGAAACACATATCAAGACTGATGATACATAAACTAAATACGACCTTACCCAATGTGGAGAAATACCTCAAACGACTAAAGAGCTCTCGCGAAAAAGCATACATTGTCTTTATATGATGAATGTATCTTATGAAAGTAATCAAATTTTCCTATTCACATCAATATCAAACATACCTAAGATGTTTCGAAAAAATAAACTATAATAAATACGGATTACATGGAAAGATATGACGCGTGTCAGTATTCATACCCATCGGTGAGGTAAATCGAGCTGTTTGTTTGTAAATGGGATTATTCGTTGTGTTTCCATAAACCGTACCATTCCATTTTCCGAAAGTTAAAAATTGCGGAAGCAGATTTCGAAAATTATATTTTCAAAAAATTATCCGTTCTGATGTTGTTCCGCAAATGTACTTCGTATTGCTTCGATCAGATGAAAATATCTTGATGAATATGCATTCTTTTCTAAGTTCAGATTTTTTATGATACCAGTATGTACGAGGTTAGTCAAGATATTATAAACCATGTCTATGCTGCATTCCTAACGCCTCTCATGGGTAGACAAAACTGTAGCTCCAATTTCGGCTCTCGGTATGTTACGAATTGCTTTACGAATCCGGTTTATAAAATAAAATTTTAAGATATTTCCGTATAAAATTTTCTTTGCTAAATCTTAGGTTAGGAACAAGATATCCAGATGCGGTCTTCGCGAGTTTGTTTAGACATCATTTAGGTTCTTTTTCATAAAAAAGGTCATACCGATGCTTTTAATTTTTTGAGAAAATTAACTGTTTCTGTCGAAATATCGAAAAAAGCCCTCTAGCGGCCACATGTGAAACTAACAGGACTTCAAAAATTATAACATTTGTAGCCCAAGCTCTTTTCAACTAGCCCAAGTTTGTATGAATTGACTCTGCTGTTTCGAAGATACAGGGAGTTTTTACAGAAACCTTTAAATACCTCCACCATTTCACTTTTAGAGATACAGCAAACATTGTCAAACAAACAAAAAATCACAATATACTCAACTTTAAAGATCGTTTTTTTTTTGTTAGGTTAATATATCACTACCTTATGTAGATTCACGATTGCAGTTACGCCCCCCTAGCGGCCATTTCAGAAACCTGAATATATATTCCAGGTTTTTCTCTTGGTTGTTCTAGAAAGTACTTTTTGCCGCAAGGCTCTACGATGGATAGGGTCCCAGATACAGTACCGCACATTCTTAGCCTGTACATGTCAAATAATATCAAAAAATCAATATCTCATTTTTGAAAATTTTCGCGACTATATTACTTTCCCACCAGTAGGCGTGGAAACTAAATGGAGAATTGAATTAACAATTCAGGTATATTCATTGTAGCAACACCAGTTGTAAGGGTTTCCATGGTGCTTACCCAATGTCCGTCATTTCATTTTCTTCAAATCAACAATACCGTTTTTCGCTGGTACTCTACAGTCAAGGTACAAATATTTACTAGCCGTAGAATAATAAAAATACCAGAGTGTGCAAAAGTTCACTCAGTTGCACTACATGATGTATATTCAAAGTCCATTTGTTCCGGAATTACATTAGAAGAACAGACTCATCCTACTTGACTGCATTTTTTTTAAATGATTTTTTATTTACTTTTCAACTAAAGTACAGATCGCCATTTTTCATCCATACTCCTTTTATTTTCGCTTCCTGTCACCGTGACGGCTTCTAAACATTCGTCGACGAAGTAATTTTAATACCAATTAAAATGATATAAAACACATCAATAAAAAGGCTGGAAAGTTGTTGAGAAAATGCTATAAAATAAAATATTTACTGCTATCGCTACGGATTCCTTAATCACTTGTATCGTTAATTAATTCGTGGTATAGCAGTTCATGATGAGTTATGGCTACTTAGACTTGGCTGTTGGAGGGACAATGCCTTTTATGGTTTCGATTATTTCGTTCCTCTGTGGTCCAAAAAGAAAATAAAGAGTTTTAAAATGCTGTACAAGGTGGGTATAACATTTGCATATAAACAGACTAATCTCTCCAACATGAGACCACGGCTGCTTTTTGGGCCTGCTAGGCGAATTGTGCTTAAGCTTGATTAGAGGGACAATAGTTCTATGTATTTTGTTTTACTAACCACGTTACTGGTGATAAAGTATTGTAAGGCAAAAAATTCCAAAAATGAATTATTATGACTCTTTCTTCTCATCACGAAAAATCATGTCACTCATTTCTCATCAATAACTTGTAAAGTACAGCTCAGAGTTGGATGAAATTTTCACACACGCTTACTACTATACCAAGGACGAAAAAGATTTGGAGTTTTTGAAAATCATTATAGCGGCGGCGGGGCTGCGGACAAAAAAAGAAAACAACGAAAGCACCCGAACTTCTTTTTCTGACGTTTCGGAGGCTCCTGATCATTTTCAGAAAAAAGGAGCTAGAAATTGTGGAGGGAGGGTTATAATAGGGGGTGTGGGAGGGTATATATCAATTTCTTGATGTTAGTTTAGTTATACGCTTCCAGCGTCGGTAATTCACTACACGTGTTAGATATATTTCGCTTATTTCCCTGTACATTTACCCTTAAAATAAAGAATGAAGGATAAATGTTTTCAATACAATTTCTGCTCTCTGGCTGCAGCCCTACTCATGAGTGTCATGCTGCATGCTGTAACTACCGTGTTGCCGATTCGAGTGGTGAGGTATGGGCAAAGGCAGAGAAGAATGTCAATGGACTAATTGTATGGGCTTATTTGACTGACTCAATCCTTTTTTTTCTCTCTTATACATGTTCGTAGCTTAAATTGTTTTTCGGTGGGTCCAACTTGTGCCAAACATAGCATAGCATAGCTTTATGGATCAATGAGAGTGTTGTTCGGCAAGTGCAGTCAGCCTACTTAACGTCATTTTATTTTCATATTCATGAGGACGTCTATTTCCGTCATCCGCATACACAAAGTTGTCTATCTACCAAGAATCAAAAAGCAACCCAGACCTCGAAAACCGTACTACAATTTGAAGAGGACCTAATATCACATAACCTTCTCAGAAAAGGTGACATCTCGAAACGTTAATCCAACCAATTCTATCAACGACATCAATTTGGCCTCCTAATATCCCCAACAAAAAATGAATAATCATTTGATTACACCCAAAGACATTATCGAAATGAGCCAAATTACCCACGATACCTATCATTAGACGACTCTATAACATCTGCAGCGAGCTTTGATAATAACGAAGTAGAAAAAATCGATGCTTCGGGAAATAACAAGTCCCTAAACTGTCCTAATGGCATTTTAAAAGTGCTGAGACACGTCTCTCCTCTAATTCGAAGTTGGTTTTTGTGATGCCGATGATTGCAGTCAGTCCGTTGGTTTGTGGTTGTTGTGCCCTTATGCTCGCCAAGCAGTGGCTTGCAGGTATCTTATAGTTCATTGAAAAACTTAAGTTCCAATATTTAAATAATACAAGTTGTTGTTACTGAGTTTTCGTCTAACGTAAAATTCGTACAAGCCCCTTCACACTTCAGTTGGCCCAACTATTGAAATCTCAGTTTTTTTCTTATCAAACACAAATAATAAAAATGTAGCAGGGTGATATAGGTTTAAAATATCAACAATGCATATTTTGATAATATATAGTAGAAAACACCAACTTTATCACTCCCTAATCAAATTTGCAGCATAAAAATAACACATGTAACAACATATCAACCATTTTCATTTCAATGCAAAATAAGTCTATAACGCATAGGTGGCTGTGAAAAAGCCATGACAATTGTTTTTATTAATGACAGCTGTCAGAATTCGTTTAAAATAGTTTTGGGTAGGTAAGGTTTTCAAAATGGGTAGAGGAAAGGTTATTAGTGAGAAATAAAATTTCTTAATTCTCTGAAATCAAACTCAGAAATAGTAACTATGTTAGACTTATCGCGGTACAGTGTGAGAAATATTGTTAGAAGATATAACGTAACCGGTTCAGTTAATATTAAGCCACGATATGTGAAAAAAAGTAATATCACAAATGCCGACCGAAGGGCATTACGAAGAATAATCGTGAAAAACAGGCGTGGCAATTATTTACAATTAAGTGCTCTGTGGAGTGACGCTGTTGGAAGGAGAATTTCGAGGTCCACAAGTCATAGAGAGGCCCACAAGCACTTGCAAGGTAAGTTTTCTCATAAAAAAAAGTGAAGTAAAAACCCCAAATTTGCACAACTTGTTTATAGGCTAAAGAAAAGCCACTATTAACTCCACTGCAAAAGAAAAATTGGCTTAGATGGGCTAAAGATCATAGACAATGGACACCTCAACAATGGTGTGCAATACAATGGAGTGATGAGACCCGATTCGAAGTTTGTGTTGGTGTCAATCGCAGTAGAGTTATTCGCAAAAAAT